TTAACTTTTTCAGTGACCTACAGAAGGAACTTCCAGTGACGGGAGTGGACACTGTTGAAGAACCTCCCAGTACGGACATCGACAAGCTGTATGAGGAATATGTGAGGGTTCAGACCAGGAAAAACTGGAAATTCTACCTCGTATCCTATTCATATTTCTGTGTTCTCTAAAGTCTTGATCAGAAGTCTTTTGCTTGAGAAAGCAATTACATTCATTTCTTTAATACTTATTTCTGCTTTGGATAAAGATTGCTTTGTTATTTATTGGAACTATTAAACCTCAGGTGGAAGGATTTTATGCAATCTGTTTAAAACTTAAATGGAAAACAATATTTTGAATAGAGTGTTCCTTAAGTCTTGGTCAGTTCAGTTTTATGATGAAGCCTCTCTTTGAGTCCTTCAAGGTCATGGTAACCACAACAACCTCTGACGAGTTTACCCAGTCTGTCAGTAACTGGGTCAAGGACAAACTCTCACTTCCAAACCTGAGGATAGGTATTGCTTTTATAACAAGGAAAATTTATTAAAGTAATTTCTATACATTGTGACAGATACATATGACAATCCCATATTGTAATTATCTACAAGAATAAAGTTTATTTTCAAAGGATTTGATTTCTTTTATAGAATTCTTTAACTGTTTGAGAAAAATCAGCAAAGAAACTAAGATAATGGATGCACCTGAACTCTTGCCATTGGAAGCTCAGTGGAGCTGTCCTGGTAAATCCATGACGTCAGATTCCCAAGTCTTAAAGATGGAAGATGATCATCCAGTCAGCACTCCTCCTTCAGCTACCACCAACCCTGCCCATGTGGAATCCCCATCCAATATGTGGATCAATTCCACCATGCCAACAAATGGCACATTGTCAACCATCTGCCATTTTGTAACTCAGAGCAATTCAATGATCTCCACCAGTTCTGTAGCTGAGAACTGTGTTATACCTCACAGCATTACAGACACTATCATGAGCAGTGACTCTCAGGATCTGAACCTGGGTCCTCTTGGTGACATTCCCCTCCCGACCTGTGATACCGAGATGTCCATCGTGGACTCTTTACTGAACAATCTGGAGAGTTCTGATTCCCTCCAACAACTACTGTCTGATCAGCCTGTCTCCCTGAGTGACATCAGCCCCACCCCCATCACAGAGGCTTACACCCCCACCCCAATCACAGGGGCTTACTTCACTGACACCCAGTCACCTTTCACTCCCACTTTCACCTCCCATCTTGGACACCAGAGCTCTCATTATCCCCACTGACAGTAGATGACCATTGACTGTATAAACTCCTACTCATACTAGGGGTATATTGATATGCCAGTTGTAAATGTTTTAAATTTACATGTCATTTTGAATTTTTGAAATTTTTTGGGGTTAGTTACCTGGGGTACTTGTATATTTTTTTCTCTTCTGAAAGTTGTTTATAATTCGGTTGGTCAAAGCAGTTCAGCTTTTAAAAAATAAATGAAAACTCTAAATGAAAAGAAATATACATTTTGAAGTTTCATACCAACTTTCCTGTTACTTTGTCTCTTGAATGCTTGATTTTTATTGCGCACTATATCTCGGTGATATGTTTTTTTTTAAACATGTGTGATATTTATTTTGTACTTGGTAACTTACAAAGTGAAGTTTTATACAATTTATACACAAGCTTTCTTTAAACAGGATCGATATGGAATGTTGCATTTCATAATGATTCTGTCATTGTTTTTTTACTTCTGTAGAAGTAATTTATATGTATATTCATGTACTTTGTACATACTGAGTCAAGTATTGTTTTTTTGGTCTGCATTGTAAAACAGGCATTTTTAAGTCCTTCATCATGAAGGAAATGTAAATATTGTACATGGCTTTATATTTAAAATGTTAATAAAGGCATGATTATTTTTTTTCACACCATTTTTATTTGTTTAAAAGGGTAATTTTTGATAAACAATGGCATAAATCTTATAAACGTGTTGCAAAAACACAATGAGACCATGGGAGTACCAGCATTGGCAGCATTTGCTTTCGCTAGGGAAATGCATCCTTTATTGACCATCTCATTTGGGGAACCTGTACAGCCTGACTGATTACATATATTTAAAAAATGAATCTTTAATATACTGTTTGTCTTTAATATTTTTTAAACTATATCCAATTGCAGGTCTGAAAAGGGAGTTGATGTATCCATTGTCTTTTTAGCTCACCTGGGCTGAAAGCTCTAGTGAGCTTTTCAGATCACTTGTCTGTCCGTCTGTAAACTATTCACATTTTAAACTTTTTCTCAAGAATCCCTGGACCAGTTTGAATCAGACTTGGTATAAAGCATCCTTAGCTGGAGAGGAGTTTAAATTGTAAAAATGAAGGGCCAGGTTCCCCTTACAAGGGGATGTAATAAAAAAAAAAGACAAAAATAGGAGGGGGGGGGTCATTAAAAATTTTCTCAAGAACAAATGGACCAGCATAGCAGAAAAGGTGAAAACTACATCCTGGGGTAGTGTAGATTCTAAATTGTTCAATCATGACCCCCATTGGTAGGGCTGGCTACAATAAGGAATCTAATTGCAAGTTTTACATTGAAATATATAGGAAAAGTCTTCTCAAGAATCACTGGCACAGAAAAGCTGAAACTTAAATGAGGAAGCATCTTGGGGTATTATCGATTCTAAATTGTTCAAATCATGACTCCTGGAAGTAGGATGGGATGACAGTAGGTGTCACAGTGGGGGAAAACTGTTCAAGAACAACATGGCCAAAGTTACAGGTGAGTGATGTGGCCCATGGGCCTCTTGTAATCATTTTGAATTCAGGATTCAATATATGAATGAAACGTAAGTGTTGTTAAATGAAACAGAAAATATAATTATCATGTATAAAACATGGTAAATATCAAAACAAGGCTTTAAAGACCCAATTTTTTTACCGTACGGTTACCTGAGGAGGGGGAGTGGTCTTAGTAACAGTGGTGTTATTTACCTGGAGACCCCCAATACCCAAGATGTCAAAAATCTATATACACGTAGCATTACACAGGAAGTCTACAGGTGTCTGGTGATCAGGGTCAATATTCCGTGTTTCGTGTCTTAAATTTAAGTGAAACTACTTGAAATAATTGAAATATTTCAATAAAAAAATTTTTTATAAATACTTTCAGCGGTATATAATGAAGAAAAGAAATTATATACAGAAATATCGTTTTTATATTTTAAAAAAATGACAAATTAAAGAAAAGAACACAGAGTAAAACTACAAAGTAAACATATCTTTTTTTTAATTAAACTTGTGTAAATATCAAAATTAAAAAGAAAATAATAAAATATTCCATTCATAGGTAGCCCTATCCGTCGTGTGAACATATACAATGTACCGTAACACGATTGCATACGTTCTGATCAACAATAGTGTCAAAAATATTCACCATTTCCGGGTGTTCGTGTGTTTAATTTTTTTTTATTGTTTGCAAGATTTCTTTTATACTTTTAAAAATTGATCTTTGGCTGTATATATTCACTTTTTAATTTCGAATATTGGGTATTGACAGATGATAGGAAATTCGAACTAAAAGTTACTATCTCGAAACTCCTAGCTGTTTCTTTACAACGGAACATGATATAGATTGTATTCATATATAGGTAGATAAAACATGGGCAAACGAATTTTTTATCCGTGCCGTTTGTGCTAAATATCTTTTCTTATTTATCATATTTCAATTTTAATCGGCAATTAGCGTTTCTGTGCACGGAGTGGTCTAAATTTTACAGAGCACACATCGCCTGAAATACAATATAGCCGTTGAGATTAAAAGCAAATATTTTATGAAGTCATGTTTTAATTATCTACTCTCATTTGTTTTAAAATAAAATTTTACCAAGATTCTTTTGTTAACCCCCGTGTATGCAAGGCGGCTACATGAAAGTGTTTGACGCGTGACCAGGCAATCGTTTTCAAAGGACACAAACTCAGACTATCAGGTAGCACGGGTAGCTGGCCTGTCAATCAAATCAGAAGCTATTGTTTTTTTAATGATTGACAGGCGGTAAATTATTGATCTTGAATCAGGTAGATTTTGGGGGCGTTAACATAAAATTGGGTGTTTAAAGACCCAATTTTTTTACCGTACGCGGTTACCTGAGAAGGGGGAGTGGTCTTAGTAGTACCAATGTTATTTACCTGGAGACCCCCAATACTCAAGATGTCAAAAATCTATATACACGTAGCATTACACAGGAAGTCTGTGCCTGGTGATCAGGGTAAACATTCCGTGTCTAAATTTGAGTGAAACTACTTTTCAAAGGGGGGTGTCAACAATTTCGCTTGTTTCTAAAAGGGAGAGGGTGCAGTGTCGAGTTAAATCAATATGGATTTCATTGCTTTGTGAGAAATGTTTTTTCTTTTTCCAAAAATATCTTGAAAAAGGTAGGAAATCTACCTAGCTAATATAACATCCAAATTCTATATAGGTGTTGTCAATAATTAAAATGAATTGAATCGAATGTTGGTGGAGGATGAAGGTTGACCCCCCCTCCAAGCCAGAATACCATTAATCTAGATCAGATTTTTGTTTTATTCTCATCTAAGTTGAGAATTTTAACATTTCAGTTCGACCATCAATTTTATAATTATTCGACATTAATCTGCCACCCCAGTCATCGAATCAAATGTTTTTCCCGGTCCTTACAATTTTGTAAGGGATCTCTGCTTTTTCAAGGGGGAGGAGATATACGTCTGCATTGAGTGGTTATCTTCCAATTTCATAAATCCCGAAGAGGGGTACTGGAAAGTAACCCCCCCCCCCCCCTTTCCCTCTATGCTGTTCAAATGGAGTAACTTTGTGTTTCCCTTCAAACTGAATCGATTAAAAAATAAATATCAGTGACAATTGAATGAGTAATTGATAGTTAAATTTAATAATATAATCTAGGGAAAAAATAATAAAATCACACCAGTCCGAATATTATCGATACACTTTGTCTTGATCGACTAAACTAAGAACGACTTAGTTAGTGGAGTCCGAGGAATTTCGGAAAGCATTAAAAACTTGTAAACATCAAACAAACGTCAATGAGGAAAAGCTGCGTACAAGTGTCTGCAAATTATGTTTAAGATTTTACAAGATAGATATTATGGTTTAGAGAGTAGACAAAAACTATACAATGCAGCAAAAGGTATTGCTTTTTATGTTACAAGGTTTTTCGTAAACAATTAGATTACCATCTCCAGATCTTCGCAATTCATCACTCTGAAATCCATCAGCCGATTTCAACTAGTGACAGAGAAAACACTTAACATTTATACACATTTAAATCGTTGATTGTACGAAAAATTTCACAGCAAAAGAAGGTTATAGCTATTTTTGCACAGAAATAAAGATTGTTGACAGTCTCTTAAATTCATAATTTTTATGAAAACAAAATATCGCAGGATTATTTTCAGTTTGCATCAAGTGATTCAAGTTGTAAAGTGGATGTAATTAACTGGATGGCTCTGTTATCACTTTTATCACTTTATGATTATTTTTTCTCTTTTTTTTCAGGGAATATTGATTTTGTGCAAAGACTGAAACTACATAACAAGATAGAGGTCCATTCTGGATGTGTAAGAAACATTTTTACTATCACTCCAAGACATATACCCAAGAATGCATCTTATTCCATGAATATGTTCTTAGTTTAATAAATTTGCTGCAATATGGTCACCCAGATTAATTTTATGAAATTTGTTTTAAGTGTAAACTCTTCTGCAATTTTGAGGTAGGTTTTTGAAAACACATAGTAAACAATTGTGACAATCAATATTAAAAACGGAGAGCTGCAATATCACCAGGGATTTCTGGTTTTACAAGTTATGCAACATTCGTGTAAACTAAAGTTTTATATTTAATTCAATTTCAGTATTTTTTATTCGTAATTTTGATAAACAGGTGAACACAATTTGCTGGAATGAGACTGGGCAGTATCTCTTGTCTGGATCAGATGATCAACACCTGATTGTGTCAGAGCCGTTCACTGGAAAGGTAAATGTAGTGATGTGTACATACATAGTCTTCCTATATATATAGTCTGTAATATTTTTTTTTCACAACAGAAATTAAGCATGTATAGATTTTTAAAATATGACCGTTGATCAAAAAGTTCGCAAACTAAGTAAATAACTTCCAAAAAAGAAATGATATAGGATTTCAGTGTTGAAAATGTTTCAAAGTAGTCCTCCCTATTTTAATACGCATCTGCAACCATTCTGCCCATGCACGGATCACGATATAGGCGGTCACGTGACATGCTCTGCAGCGTCCTGTCACAGAAGCTTAAAATTTTTTCCGACTCTTATATTTCTTACCATGCAAGTTATTTTTTGTAACAAAAACTGTCCATTTGTCAGAAATGGCCTAATCTCGACAATAGAATGGGTGGATAATGATATCCTTTAGCAGAATGAGCATGGTGACCATCAAAACCCAAGTCCTCTGTCTTTTTACATTTCATGTGGAGAAAGTATGGGTGCCTTCACTTTATCATATACGATATGTTTAAAGTCTAAAGTAAACAATATTTTAGGGATTTGATAATTATATTTTTGTAAAGATATTCATCATTCTATTTTTCTAACTGTAAGTTGGCGATCTTTCATATCAAATTGCTTTACAAAGTTTACCAGTTTGCTTTGAAATTCACTGGGCAACAGAACAAACATCATTTTTAAACATCTCCCTTCCTTCACTTAAACAATTAATCAAATTAATGACAAAACTTCTGGCAAGTCTTTTGTCTTCATAAACCATGTACAAATTATTATAAACTTCTACAAAGGAATTTCCAAAGATATATATTTAACTTTACAGCCGTTCGTTTCTCGAATACGACTGAGCCAACCATTTTTTGTCACAAGTGATCTACCTTATGACGTCATTTTCACCTTGTGACGTCACAAACATGGGGGAAAACTTTCCATTACATATGCTGTTTATAGAACATATGTATGACATTATTTATGCCAATTTTCATTCTGATCTGAATTGTGGTTTTGTAAATATAGAGATAGTTCGCGAACTTTTTGATCACCCCTCGTATATTTTTGTTTTATTTTTTCTGCTTTAATAATAGCATATTTTTTTTCCTTATCTCAGGTGTTTTAAAAAACTGATCATGCGCACTTTGAAAAGGCTGCAAGTTATGTTTATATAATCTAAGCAGAGACATATAACAGAAGTCTAGAGGAGTGTAATATATCTCTAGTTTGTTCCCTATTTATTTTTCAGTACACCAGTGTGAGATCAGGACACAGGGCAAACATATTCAGTGCCAAGTTTTTACCATACACTAGTGAAAGGGTAAGATACAAACATATTCAGTGCCAAGTTTTTACCATACACTAGTGAAAGGGTAAGATACATGCATAAGCATGCACGTAATGTATTTGTTTATAAAACTTTTTTTAAAAAGTCATTTACCAGGGTACATACTGTAGAAATGGAGATTTTTTTTCCAATCTGGATTTACAAACATAATGGTAATATTTTTCCAGATCGTAAGCTGCTCTGGTGATGGAAAAATCTGTTACACTGATGTAGACACAAGCTCCAGAACGAATATTTTTGACTGCCATTTTGGAACTACATATGAGGTACAGTAAAAAATTAATATCATTTTAACCTCAATATGGTCAAGAAAAACTGAATGATATCTTTAAGGATTTGAGATATTGTGGTTAAAAGATACATAAAGAGAAAAAAATTGTTGGGAGTTTCGTTTTTGTAGCAGTTAGGTAGTTATTCTTGGTGAATCTTTTCTATCATGTAATGTCACACAGTTTTGTTTTTGTAGGTAGTACTGAGTGAATCTTTTCTATCATATAATATCACAGAGTTTTGTTTTTGTAACATTTAGGTTGTTATTCCAAGTGAATCTTTTCTATCATTTAATGTCAGAGTTTTGTTTTTATAACAGATGGTGGTTACATGTATTCTGGGTGAATCTTTTCTATCATATAATATCACAGACTTTTGTTTTTGTAACAGGTGGTAGTTATTCCGAGTATATCTTTTCTATCATGTAATATCACAGAATTTTGATTTTATAACAGTTAGGTAGTTATTCTGAGTGAATCTTTTCTATCATATAATGTCACAGAGTTTTGTTTTTGTAGGTGGTAGTTATTCCCAGTGAGTCTTCCACCTTTCTGTCCTGTGGAGAGGATGGCACAGTTCGCTGGTTTGACCTCAGGGCCAAGACGTCCTGTCAGAAGGAGGATTGTAAAGAGGTAATCTACAGCCAAATTAGCAAGGGAGATGATACACTGAAATATTATACTGAATATCAAAAAGGAAACACATGATGATTCATTTTCCTTGTATTTTTTAAAAATATGTTCAGAGTGGAAAGAAGGTGTAGTTTTTTAACTAAAGTGTAGATAAATCTTATTCCATACTTTTTTCCTTGAAAGTAAATTTAGTAATACCTATTTTTAGGACATTCTTATAAACTGCCGGCGAGCTGTTACATCTTTGGTTGTTAACCCCCTGATTCCATATGAACTAGGCATTGCTTGTGCTGACAGTTCTGTGAGAATATATGACAGGAGAATGCTAGGAACCAGAGCCTCAGGTATATATAGTATGATACTCCTATTTCTGTTTTTTCAGCAAAGATTTAAGTTACTATACATGTGTTCATCCTCAAAAAATAAGCCATAGGGGAAAAATTTGATTCACTATGCTCCATTTGCTCGTAACATACTAAGCTTTCATACAATTACATGCATGTAGTAGTAAAAGTGTAGCTTGTTGGGGATGGTGAAATATGTCACTGTTAAAGTGTATGAAATCTTTATTTAAGGTTCCCACAGCAGTAAGGGCGTCACAGGGATGATCTGTAAATTCATGGCTCCGACTCTGTCCAACAGACCTCACAGGATTACCTCCCTTGCTTACAGTCCTAATGGAGATGACATATTGGTCAGCTATTCCTCCGAGTACATCTACCTGTTTGGATCAAGGGTAGATTTCTTTATATTGTATGAGTTCTTGGTTTACTTTTAGAAAAACAGTTTTAATTTGAATATGGATTTGGCATATTAATTCTTAAAAGGATTTATTTTTACCCAAGTTAAAAAAAACATTTATTGAATGATACATGTAATGTCATAATACCAGACATCCCCGGTAACCACTATTGCTTTGTTTTAGTGCATGATGGAAACTGTGTATTTTATCTTTTTAATACATGTATCCTCCTTTATCACATATTATAATTTTAATACAGGATTATAAAACAAAGAAATTACAAGCACCTGCAGAGTTCTTTAAAAAGACCAAACACAAGGTAAATCATTGCTATACTTGTCACTCTCATGAAAAGTTGAATTTTCAACAAACTTGAAAAAAAAAACTTTTTTGATTAATGTTAATTTCAAAATCAGATGTTTAAAAAGTATAAAGATTTAGAGGATGTACAAAGAAGTAATGCTTGATTTTTTTTGTCAGAGTGACCAAATACCAAAGAAATTCAAATCATCTGACTTGTTAGCAGACATGCCATCTACATCTAAGGCACCACCCAAAGCCAAAGAAACTGACCCCCATCCTACCCCCAGGAGTCCATTAGTCCCCCCAACAGACCTTCCCCCATCCCCTCCTCACACCTCTTCTTCACCCAGACAGTCCACTTCTGAGGGGGTCACCTCCATGTTACTACCCCAGAACCCCTCAGGATCATCACTAAGGCAACCACCAATCAAAAGACTTCGTCTCCGTGGAGATTGGTCTGACACTGGACCTCACGCCAGACCTGAGAGTGAGCGACAGACCAATGGTAAGAATAATTTTTATGCCCCCCTTTGAAGAAGAGAGGGCATATTGCTTTGCTGCTGTCGGTCCTGATTTTAAATTTGGCCGTTCATTTTCTTCGCAACCGTAGCACATACTGAAATGAAATTTAGTATACAGATATATCACATGAATATCTAAGTCAAGCTCTGTTTTGGGCATGATCACACCATTTTGACAGAGTTATGCCCCTTGGACTTCAAAAAATTTCAATTATTTGCAGTTTTCGCTCATTTTCTTTGCAATCGTTGCACATACTGAAATGAAATTTGGTATACAGATATATCACATTAATATCTAGGTTAACTTCTGTTTTCGGTGCGAACTCACCATTTCTGACAGAGTCATGCCCCTTGAACTTCGAAAAATTTCAATTATTTGCAGTTTCCGCTCATTTTCTTTGCAATCGTTGCACATACTGAAATGAAATTTGGTATACAGATATATCACATGAATATCTAGGTCAAGTTTTGTTTTGGGTATGATCGCACCATTTTTGACAGAGTTATGCCCTTTTGGACTTGGAAAAATTCCAATTTGGGGTGAGGGGGAGCATAAGTGTTTTACAAACATCTCTTGTTTAAATGTAAATTTGCCATATTGCCAAGTATGTTTTTTTTTGCTACACAGTACAGTGGATTGAAGTGTTGTTAAGTAATATTATGTTAATAGTTATCATGAATCTCAAAAGTTTTTTTCACTTTCAATTCAGAACAACCAGACAGACAGACCACCATCATGCAGAGAATGTCAGACATGCTGACGAGATGGTTAGATGGTAACCTCAGAAGACAGGAGGAAGAGGGGAGAGAAGAGGGGGGTGAGGAGATCCAGGGAGGGAGTTCTGAAGACCAGGCCTCAGGGGGTCAGGCCGAGGAGGGTAGAAGTGGAGGGAGTGACGAAGTTGTCAGGGAACCCTCTGATGTTGAAGGTAAAATATCATTTTCATTTCATTTTGTGTTGCACATGTAACATTCTCACAAAGATAGGGTCCTGTGTCAATTTGTTGCAATAGAACCCTTCATGTTGATAAGTTTCATTCAGTTTAATTTGGGCTTGCGTGGCTTATTGCAAGGCACCATCAAATTGAAATAGACAGATAGTGTTTACAGAAAGTATTGTATGCAGGGTTATTTTCGCCCCGCTTTATTTTCACCCTTTCACACTTGGAAACAATTTTGCCTCTTTTTAAATTCGCCCAGTCACAGGTTTGTTTAAGAAATTATATTGTATATTTTGAATTCGCCCCTTTTAAATTCGCTCAAACAAGGTTAGGGCGAAAGGGGCGAAAATAAAACGGGGGCGAATATTTCCCTGTATACAGCAATCGGTTAACACCTAAAATGCATGTGTATGCATTATTTACACCACATTATATAAACCAAGGAAAGTAGCAGCTATACGCATTAAAAATGATAAGCTTATTTAGAAGAAACCTCCTGTTTGTTTCAAATCCCATCTGATGTCATTCAGTTTCAAAATGTTTTTAATAATTGCAGAAATGGAAACAGAGCATACCCCAGACAATGACAGATTACAAAATTTTTCATCACCTCAAGGTTCAAGTGTAGAAAACCCAGAAAGTACCAGTTGTGAAGACAATCCTCAGGCAGTCTGTGATAAACCAAATGTCAATTCCAAACAAAGTGCAATACCAAAACCCAGTAGTCTTTCCCAATCCCAGACAGCAGTGTCAGACTGTGATGTTAACGTTACTCAAGCTGGTCCTTCTGGGGCATCCAGAGGGGTTACAAATCAGGAGGAATCTCGGGGGCCCCAAGAGGGAAGGAATATAATTTCAGGTGAGCAGAGGAGGCAGCAGGCAGGGTTGTTGGTTGAGGAGGAGCCAGTGATTAGTCTACATTACTCCTCTGAGGGCACCACTAGCAGTACAGTCAGACTCGGTTTTGCCAGGTTTGAAAACTTAGAAGCTGGTATTCTACAGAGAAGTGCTGAGAATGCTTCATTACAACCATTGGTTAGAGAGACTACTCCTACAGGAAATAGAGACTTAGAGAGTCACAATACTGATGTGACTAGTCAAATGGGAAAGTCTGTGAAGGAAAACAAAGAGGGAAATACAGACTCTGTTGGTTTTTCTGATTCCACAGACAGCAGTGATATTTTTGACAGTGATTCTGCTTGCTCTACTGAGTCAGCAAAAGTGGATTCTGGCAAGAAGTGTGAAAGTGCTGCAGATAAAGAAAGAGCTGGTTCTACATCTGAATCTCATGAAACTGGAAATGTTAGTAAACCTTTAGGTGAGTCAGCCTCTGACAATCAACCTTCAACCAGCTCAGAAGGTCAGCCACGGAGAGCAGGGAGAAGAGATGCTAGCGCAGCTGTGAAAGAGAAGATCAGACAGATAGGACGGATGAGGATTTTAGAGAGACTTTGTAGAGAGGGGGTATCTGGATCGCAGCAGGACAGACACACAGACGACGGTGGAACATCAGAAGAGGAGGAGCTGCCAGTATCTAGAGGCGTCAGTCATACAGATGACAGAATACCTGGTATCAACTAGCATTAAAATTATTACATTTCAGATATACGATTATCATATTTCAGTGTAGACTTTTGAAATGTGCAATGAATGCCCTATAATCATATGAACGATGAGTAATTCTTTCCCATTTGCTTTAAGGTAGTGAAGCTACAGGAGGTTCAGAAGAAAGTAGAGCTCGGACTTCTCACTCGGGTCAGGAGGATGTAGGGTCAGATGAGGAAGGGGAAGGTCAAAGGTTAGATGTCAGGTTATGTACATGTAATTAGCCATAGGCTATTTCTTATAGTCACACTGTTTGACACTGATATAAAGATACATTTTATATATATACATTTGAAGGATTTGAGCTACTCATGAAATTTTTCGCTCATTTCCAAAATAACTGAAAATAATCACAGAAAACATAACAAGTGTAGTCCTGCGCGACAGTATAACACGTCTACATTTTCAGTATAGTGATTTGTGTTGATTTGATTTGTAGGGACACTCTGGAGAGACACATCACGGCCATCAGATTACAGGAGCTGTACAAGAAACGCCAGGAGGACAGAGAGAATGAGGAGATAGAGATGAAGAGCATCCACCAGCCCCTCCACAAAATCAAGTTCAAAGGGCACAGGAATGCTCGAACTATGGTAAAATGTTTCTGGATCATCCTTTATTGATTAAAATGCCACGTTTTATGTATTAACTTAAGTTTTATATACACTTAATCTTTCGATATACTAGTATGCTGTCCAATATTTTGTAGTTCATAAATGGGGTGTTTAGTAATCTTGGATTTAAATTGTTTTACTTAATTTGAAAGTCTTGGCTATTTTTCAAAATCTTGCACATTTATTTTACTTAATTTTCTTTTCAGAGATAAATTGCCTTTGAATAGTTTAAATTGCAAATTTCTAGTATTTACAAACATGACATTTTTGGCACAATTTGAAGAATTTTCTGCATTAAAAGAAAAATTAACAGATTTTCAACATTATTCTCATTGACAGATAAAGGAAGCTAACTTCTGGGGAGACCAGTTTGTGATGAGTGGCTCGGACTGTGGTCACATCTTTATCTGGGATAGATACACTGCTAAGTTAACCATGCTGTTAGAGGCTGACCGCCATGTTGTCAACTGTCTACAACCTCATCCTTATGATCCAAGTAAGGCCATAATAAATAAATTGCTAGATTCTCATCTGAATTTTCTTAAAAATCGAGGCGGGCGGGCGGCTTTTATTTTATATTTTATATTTTTTTTAAGTTTGCAGATTTTTTATTGACCTGGTCAGTCGGTGTAATTTTATCTACAATACCCGAATAAAAGTCATAGTAAAGGTTCAATTATCTCTTACTTCACATCATCACCAATATTTTTCAACCAATGACCCTTGTTTAAAATATATACGCATGTATTACAGCAATTACCATCTTTTCAGCTGTCAAAATCACGTTGACTTTCGCGGGATTTAAAACGAAAGTAGAATGGTAGATGAATACCAATCAGAATTAAGACGAAGAAAAACAGAAAATAAAAAAAATCGAGGCGGGGGTATAAAATTGGGGCGGGCGGGGATGAGAATCTAGGAATATTTTTATTATGGCCTAAATCATTATAATTTCTTTGGTAAAAGTCATTTACATTGTATGTGTAACTTATTCGGTTCAAAGAATTCAAAAATATGGTAAAGTGCCTAAGTTTTATAAGTGAATTGATACTGCCCAGGTGAACGAATTGTTGGGTTAAAAATTTATGATTATCATAAATCTAGAAAGTTGAATGAAAATTTCATGACACAGTTATGTTGAATTGCTTTTCAATTATGAGATTTTTGAACAAATAGAGAGGTTGACAATTACTTGTACAATGCATTTATTAAATTTTCTCAAATGTTCCTTTTGTCACCATTTCCTCATCAAAGAATTTTTTTCCTTGATATAAAAAGATCAAATGATGCTGCAATTACTGCTATTTTTTAACAGCTGACTTGTAATATGGTTGTTTTTCACTCTTGTAGTTTTGGCTTCCAGTGGTATAGATTATGACATTAAGCTGTGGATGCCTCTAGAAGAAAATCCCAAGTTTGAGGAGGAGGTGGCTGCTGAGGTACAGCGTCGTGCCATAAGTATTCGCGGAAAAATGGCGGACGTGATTTGAGAGTTATCGCGCTTGCAACATAAAAGTCACCCAAATACAACAAAAACAAAACAAACGCTTACCTTTAGTACTTTGTTAAATGTCCCTTGGATCGTATACATGCCATGATGCGTTTTGGGATGGATTTATAAAGGTTTTGAATATACTCTATGGTGAAATTCTGCCAAGTGTGTAAAATAACATCGAACAGCTGATCAGGGGTGGTAATATCTCCGGCGTGATTTTGGATCTGTCTTTTAATTCTATGCCAACAGTTTTCAATGATATTAATGTCCGGACTCTGGGCTGGCCACACCATACCTCGAATATTATTTGCACGTTTATATTCCTCTACAACACGGGCTCTATGTACCGGCGCATTGTCGTCTTGAAAAACGTAGTTGTTTGCAGGGAAATGTCGGGCAATAACAGGCCACAGGTGGTTGTCAATGATATTTATATATTTATCGGCATTAATGTTACCTTGTACCTTGCATAAAGTCCCTGGACCATACCAGCTGATGCATCCCCATATCATTACGGAAACTTTGGGTTTTGAAATCGCATACATGCACTCCGGACGGTACGATTCCTGGGCGGATCTCCAGACATACACACGATTATTTTGCCCTATAACCACTTGAGATTCATCACTAAATATGATAGGTTTCCAGTTTTGTTCAACAGTCCATCTTCGTTTGAGTAAACACCATGCTAAACGTTTCTTTCTATTTACTTCTTTGACAACCATACGTTTTCTCACTACTCTTCTGTAAATTTTGTTATTATGTAAAATCCGCTTTGTCCGTTCACTAATAGGTTCACAATAATTTCCATCATTAAAATCAGTTGTTATATCCTTCAAAACACTTCCCCGGTTCTTCCTAACCATACGAAGTAATCTTACTTCACCACGTTTTGACACTTTCCTGGGACGTCCCGAACGAGGAGCTCTTTCCACACTTTTTCTCTGATGAAACGTTTTCAAAATTGATCTACATGTAGATTCGGGAATTTTCATAATTCTTGAGATCTCACTTACTTTATGTCCGTTTTCTTTCAAATCTATAATCAGCTGTTTTATCTCTAGTGACAGTTCTTTTGATTTTCTACCCATCTTGTTTACAGTCCGTAATATTCGGCAGTCTAACTTTAGCAGACGTCAAACATGACATCACGGTAAACTTTGACCTTACGCGGTTTTGGGGATGATGTCAAAATACAAAAAAGCGATTGCATAATGATTTAGGACGATTTGAAAAAACGCGAAGCGTGAACATTTTACGACGGCCGCCATTTTTCCGCGAATACTTTTGGCACGACGCTGTAGGTCTGATGTGAAATAGGTCATGTCCATGAATGATTGTACCAGCATAAGTAAAGTACATTCAAGAAATATATTGATAATCCAATAAATCCGTATAATTTTCAACCCACAAATTAAACAGAAATTGTGATTCCACTGAATTATGACCCTATGGGGAAAAGTATGTTTAACTTAACAGTTTTCACAATTCATAAACGTATTCTAATGAATGAAATAGGTGAGAATATAGATCTGTTTTCAGTGAAGATCTCGAAAAACCTACAAACAATACAAATCTTTGAACAGGCCATGATACATGGACCCCTGTAAATACAGAAGTGGGATCAGATTAATATACAAGTGGATCTTCCCAAATTAAAAAAGGATTTCATTATGAAAATCTAACAATCATTTATCTTTTATAAATATTTAAAATTTGTTTTTTTTGTAAGGTTTTTAATTCAAACAAAAAATCTCAAATTCGGGACAGATTTTTAGTAAGAACATGTATTTTAGATCATGAGGCGTAATGAAGTGATGCTGGAGGAGACACGAGACACCATTACTGTTCCTGCTGCTTTTATGCTGCGTGTTTTGGCCTCCCTCAACCAGATCAGAGCAGGTACGTGTGCATTATATGCTGGGCAGGTAGAATGCTCTCTTACATTTTTATTGAGAAAAAGAATTGCAAAATTTTATCAACTGAGTTTTAGAGAAACAGTGACAACTGCTTGAGTTGAGTTTATGAAACTCAAGTCTATACTTTTTAATCATGTAATGCTTTTAAACTCTGATCCAAATTTATGTAAGATCAATCTACATAGATTATTGCTGTATACAACTTACCTAAGAAGATCTATACACCTTGTTCACATGAATTTTATCTTGAGTGTATATGGTATGGATCTATTAAGATGTCATATTTTTAAAAATTAAACTATTTAGATCTAGGTCAGATTTCTTCCTCTTGCAGATATAACAAGCATTCTGAGAGTATTGCATAAGCAATACATGTCCCCTACCGGGTTCCACTTTTCTCTTTAGAATACAAGCTTGTTTGGAACTTTAATTTAGTGCATAACGAACCCGATCGTTATCCCAATTATGAAAAATTTAAAATGCCTTAATTCCGTCAAAAACCAACGAAGTGGAATGAAATTCAAACTTGATCTGTAACCCATCAAGATACACTCAAATACCAAACATCAGTTCAATATCTGCAAGTGTTTAGAAAACACTCGGAAAACCAAGTGGGACAGATAAATAGACGGACGGATGGACAGACGCAGAGGAAACCTTTAGGTCCCTCTGGTTTCACCGGTAGGGGACTAAAAAGACGAGAAATACCTTGTACCAGTAATTATATCTTTCTTTCAGGTCGTGCATCCTCCAGCAATGAAGCCGTGGCTGAAAACGACAGCTCATCTAGTGATTCTGAGTGACTCTAACAATTAATTACCGATTTTACATTTTTTTCTCTTCCCTTATGACTCTCAACTTTAAAGATGTCTTATAGACTCCAAGTAATGAAGTATGCTAAACCTGAGCAGAGCCAGCTTAAAAGTGTGATTCTGAGGTTACTGAGGTTGATTTGATTGTTTTGAGTGTTATTTTAAACTCCACTTCCATTTATGTTTCAGGCTATATATAAATACTTTACAGGTTATCTGTATATGATTACATACATGTATGTTGACATTGTTGCTGATTTCATGCTTTGAAGCAAATAAAAAAGAATCAGAACAGCATATTTAGCCTGATATATATAATATGCCGGATATATATATATATATATATATATATATATATATATATATATATATATATATATATATATATATATATATATCAGTTACGGACGGGGACCATGTATAAAACCATGTTTCGGGGTCTCAGGTTCCGGGTCTTTTATATATATATATATCCAATATATATATATAAACTTCAGTGTAAAGTGATATATATCCCACAGACATACATTTAGTATATATATAGAATAATTATCAGTTAGGGGGATCTTGTATAAAATCATGTTGCTGGGTTTCACTTTTACCCCATAATTAATAAATCTCTATTTCTATATAAAAAATTATTGTATAAAAATTTCGATTTAAAACCGTGTTGTGCAAAAGTGGTCTAGCGATATTTAGATGATGATTTAGTGGAGGCTAATAGTGCTAGATTTACGAGGCATTTTATATACCCCGTGCCTGAAATAAACCCCACAAGAAAGGTCGTATATAGAAAATTTCCCCGTAACTGACACTCTAAATCCTTATCAGTTAAATTTGTTGCAGTGCAAAATGTTCTGCTCCTTTGTTGAACACGTTTCTCAAAAAACCTTTTCTAAATTTTGAAACGAAAATAAAACAAAACATAGGAAGTTTATCATTTATATTCAACACATTCTTTACAAAAAAAAATACATAAAGGCACATTGGTCACAATGCTCACCCGTGTCCAATGAGTCATGATATGCGAGAACGATATTTTTAAATTTCACCACCCTTTATACACGTATATAAAATTTGATCCCTTATTTAAGTTCAAACCTATCCATAGGAGTCAAAAGTTGAACAAACTCGAATCCGCACTACCTTTGGATGCATGCATACAACCTAATAAGAATGTCCATGGAAAAAAATATTGAATTTCACTTTATATACTATAGATTTCTTATTTTTCGCGAGAACAATTATTCGCGAATAGACGGTTGATCAAGAGATTTAAAATACCACGTATTTCAGCACCATAAAAATAAAAGCGAATAATTTTATTTCGCAGATCAAAGCATTTAAAATCAGTCAATCAAGTAAGCGCACAACCATAAATAATGCAGATTCAAGTTTGTACAAATTATGGCTCTAGGATTGGCATATGGGACATACCCGGTAACTGTGAAACATGTTTCAACTGTTGGTACTGTAGATTCCAAATTGTAATTATTGCGTAATTTCGCGAGAACCATCATAGAAGAACATAATTTTAAAATAACAACAAAAAAGACAACGGACAACTTTTGATCATAAAAGCCCGTGAGCGTTTAACTCAGGTGAGCAAAGAATCAAATACACAGGTGGTGCAATTAAAAAAAATGATATCACTAATTCAATAACACTTCATGATAAAATTTATATTTTGGCCATAACACTACAGAAAAATATAAGATTTGTTTGTGCCTGTTTTAGAAAATTTCTCCACTTTCCAACTTTGGTAAATTGCCTACCTTCCACTCTCTAATTCAAGACACATTCTTAAACCAATTTGTATGCTTTACGCGATAAATACCTCCAAACCCTTTATATAGTTATTTCTACAAGCGATAAACTCGCTTGAATTAGAAATTTCTGCAAACCCTTCCACAATATCACAATATCCAACCAAACACGTTTATCGCCGGTAGAGGCGACTGGGGTGTGAAAGGTAGGCGATTTACCACCTTTGGAAAGTGTAAAATTCTCCCAAACAGTGCGCAAAAATCTTGCGCCGTAAATTGCTATTTTTTATGGCGTCGAGCGAAGCTCGAACGTCATCTAGTGATCGGCCAGATTTACGCGACCGAATGTGTCAGTGGATGCATCCGCAATAAAAAATAGCAAAGCTGTAAACCAATTTCTTTGAAAACGCTCACAATGAATAATAGCTTGAAAATAAAATTTTATCAATTGTATCTTCAATTAATTCTGCTACAAAACAACGATAAACTAGTGCTAATTGTAACGAGAACCGTTACAGATGTTCCCCAAACGCTCCCCAACTCCCTTTTGGTGCCATATTCCCTGTAAGCTTCATTAAATAGGACAAAATCTATGCATTAGAGACTTTAACAACGCTAAGTTCATTCAAATTTTAGCATTGCATGTGTGCGAATGTGAATTCATGTGCATAATGATTATATCATCTTGTCTACACAATCTATACATTTTAATATACTAAATACTAAAGTATTTAATCCAAAAGTATTAAAAAATACGCTCATTCAAGTGTATTTTTGATTTAACTTATTTCACGTGCACGCACGTGCATACATGAGCATGATGACCATATCTTCTACAAAACTTGTAGAAGTCCATTACATCTATTTATGTTCTAAATCCCACCCCGTTTGGTTGAAAACCAAGGGAGTTATAGCTGTTTAAAGTTTCAGTCAATCAGATTACAGTGCACGTATACGCATGTGCATGGTGAGCATACCTGCTTGTAGAAGTTCATTATATCTATCTATGTTCCAAATCCCATCCTGTTTGGTTGAAAACCAAGGGAGTTATAGCTATTTAAAGTTTAAACCAATCAGATTGCAGCGCACGTGCATGCACGTGTTTTCATGATAATTGCTTTATATCATGTTGTAGGAAATCTTAATGCATGGCTATGTTCAAAATTTCATAGGATTTCGTCGAAAAACAAGAAAGATATAGAGACTTTAGTTTCAGCCAATCAGAGCAAAGCGCACGTGCATGCGCGTGAGATCTTGCTTTTTTGACCATGTCATATTGTCTATGCCACTAATATATCCTTATATCATGAGTTTCAAAGCATTTAATCAGAAATGTAAAAAGTTACGCCTATATCAATTAAATCGGTCATTTCACGTGTTGCACGTGCACGCTCTTACAAGCACTTGCACGCAAAATGACCTTCGTTCGGCAAATCTACATAACATGTCTACTGACCCTAAAAACATTTTACCTTAATCGGATGTGTAGTTTACAAGATCACTCGAGTAAAAAATTTTCCCAGGAAGAAGAAAAATAATAATAATAATAACTAGAAACGATCTCGTTGCGAGCAACGAGTAGGTCTTCCGTCCGATTCTGAAAAATAACCCATAAAATCGGGCTGAAAATGGATGAAACATATTTTGGACACACTGGTAATTGAAACGGGTCGCTAGGGTGAAAATCCAATACGCTTATCGATTACGCTATTTGAACAACTACTCTTACTTCACTTGTTTGTACATATAATTCTGCAACATTTAATCTGTCTTGGAATTATGAAAGAAGGGTCACTATTCATAATTTCGCGCCAAACGCATCGAGTAAATCTTAGGGAATTTCTCTTGGAATGTTCATTTAAATAGGTGAGATAGCTTCAATCAAATAACAAAAGAGCGTTCTTATCGCCTAAATTTTAAGGTGTGGAAAGTATAACACATACATGTAACATATCGTATATAGGCAAATAACACTAAAGCAGTGAAACAGCTATGAATGGTTAATTTTTCATTTTCAGTCACGAAAGTTGACTATTCCGACTACTTACACTTTCATAAAAAAGGTGGTGTGTTTCACTGAGAAAAAAATGCCTCGACCGCCCTACGAGGGTCAAAAAATAAGATTCCATTATGTTCAATAACTTGCATTGAGAAAATAAAATGTTTATATAGGCCAATTAAACTGTCTTTGAAAAATTGTTATCTTTAAAAATAAAATATTTTCTTATTGTAACAGTTGTCCCTTCTATTGATTTAATATGACACAAGTGTGCATGGGAAAACAGTGGTCACGTTTTTTACTTACTACATTCTTGAAAAACTATTAATTATAACTATGATTTAAGCTATGTGTTACCGTGATGCAAAACAAAAGATATAGATATTGTACTTCATTTGCACATTAATTCTTTTCTATTTCTACTTTGAGAAACAACCAAAACCAATTAAAGAAGACTTGTAAGTAAACCTTGGATAATAAATGTAGTTTGACACCGAATTGCAACGAACCTACGACGTGACTATCCAAGTATCCCTACACATTTCATTGCTCTTTATGTTACTTTCGTTCAAGCAAACGCTCAGCTGCCTCTGTAAACCCCTATTGCGAAATGTCGGAATTGACAGAGACCGCCGCCATTAAGATCCCGCTTCAGACTTTTGAATGTTAATATCTCGAGTTCGAATTCATCAATTTACAAACAAATTATATATTCAGCCTAATGAGAAATGTTTCTATCAACCAAACTAATATGATTTGAAGATATTGAAAAACAAAAAAGTTTAAAAATTTGACTTTTTTTCTTTGCATGTCATTACGACAGGAAGTAGAGACGACGTACAAAAGATCGCGTCTTGGATAGTACTTATCACGATCTATAATCCCTGAAAGTTTCACAGTGATATCTTTTACCGTTCTTTAGATTATCCGCGAACAAAATGTCAATTTAAAATCAGAAAATTGTCCGTAACTCGGCACCAGATAAGAATTTCCAAAAAAAAAACACCAGGATATAATAACTGCAGATAGCAACACATTGTTCCTGCAATTTACATAAAAATCCATCCAGTAGTCTTTGAGAAATCACGTGCACAAAATTTGATGGTCAGAAAAATAATAATTATAACGAGCTCAAGAGAGCTTCAACGCCTTTTGCGCTGGAAAGATATAGACTTAAAAAAGCAATTCAGCAATCCTTCCTCTACCTTCACTGAAAATCTCAAGTCAATATCTTCATTCATTTTTTAGTGATTGCCCGGACAAGCTGACCCTCTTAAAATCAGTAAATCGTCCATATCTCACGACCGGAAGTGACGACGTACTTATAAAAAATTTCCAATAAGGTTCAGACCAATATCTATCAGATCTGAAAGTTTCGTGAAAATCGACCGAGCCGTTTTCGAGAACTCGCGTGCACAAAAATCGGTAAGAAAAAAAAAAAAATAATAATAGGGAAAAAGAAACCGAACGAAAACAATAAGGTCTTCCGTTGGAAACGGAAGACCTTAATAAGAAGAAGAAGAAGAAGAAGAAGAAACAGAGTAAAAACAATATGTTCCCCAACTTCGTTTGGGAAACATAATTATAATGTTTAATTTTCACGCAAGAAAAACGTTATGGTTGTTGCGGATGAATTTCTACAGAGAGGGATCGTCGAATTACATGAATAACATTTCTGGGACCGATTACAGTAATACAAACAACCTTAAAGACGGTAAAATAATAACAAATAAAAACTACAAGACTATAAAAAATTACATTTCTTAATCTTAGCTTAAAAAATAGATACAATTTTAAGCAAAAAATTCAAGCTTAGTGTGCATAATATATATGAATGACTCCAATCCAAATATCTTACGGTAGGATTCTTCTCTGGTTTCTGAGAGGGTGAAATATTCAATGTATATTTGCTTTTATGTCGTATATATTAAGGTGAAAGAGATTTAAAAAAAAAATACATTTTCTTTCTTTATCACAATTGTACAACTTTAAATAGAAATGATAAATTGTGTTCGAAAACTAGCATGGACTAAAATTTTGGCGGAATGGTGGCGTATTTAAAATATCTTCTTTTTTGCAACTCAAAATTATTTTAAGTTTCAAAATATACCAAATAAATATGATTTTCCAAACAAACTACAATTATGTTAGCTTCTAAACGCTTCCAAGTACAGGTATGAGGCAAAAATCCGTAGATTCAAGTGTTTTTACATTCTTAGTAAACTGTCAAAACTTTTTGTTTTTGTACCATTTGTATTTCTACATGATTTTTTTTTACCATGTGTGAAAATACGAAACATTTAAATATAGGGTGCATATAAAAATAACTTAAATATCTTAAAAATTTTACAAAATAGAGAAAATTCGAATTAGTTAAAATCCATTTTTGTTAAACTATATGTGTCAATTTGGAAATATCATCTTATAGACCCTACATGGTAAAATCTTTTTATGCAAAAAGAAAAAAAAACATGTAATCTTTTGAAAAAAAGATCTTATCGCATGATTGGATGCAGTAATTTTTATTCTTAATGTCCAGGAAAAGGGTAATGACCTTGACTCTAATATAAAACGGTCAAAACTAATCTAACTGACACCATCACTTTGTAATATTGTCTTCTTGATTCTGTGAAAATTTCGTTAATTTTCAATACAAGAAATATAGTTTTGAGTGAGAAGAATCCTATTTTAATGCAAATGAAAGAATGATGTGCAAAATCTACTGTTGGGGCCTTCTTTTTTGCGAGAATTGTATCAAATGTACACCTTTTTAACAATATTTTTCAAATAAAAGTGAATTGAAATGACACTATGCACAGTTCTAAACACTGTAGTTCGCTAATCCTAATTCGACCCTAATATTAAGAGAAATTCCGCATTATCATTATTTTTTTTACAATGAAATGAAATTTTGTCATGCTTGGAGACTATTTGTTGTTTTATGAACAAAGATTGAACGAACGGAAGGGATTTAGTACAACAGAAGTTCGATCGATCAAGTGACATCCTTTACCAGTCATCGATTCAGTAAAGATATGTTGAAGGGAATTAATATTTCAAACAATCAATTCATTAACAAAATACGGCTAATTAATGTATAGTGATATTTAGCCCCCCCCCCCCGGACGATTCGGAGGTACAATGTATATATTTTGCCCCTTTTGTCCACTCCTCTCTCTGCATGTTTATCCAAATCTTTCATCTTGCCCATATCCTTTGATAGCCAGTTTCATCTTCTTGTTACAAATTTTTTTCTTAACAACCCTTGACCTTGGTTTTAACTTTTGAGAAATTTCAACCTTCGGCAAAAGTTGTAATACATGGGCATTTCTGTTTCACAAATACATTCTTAAACACGTGCTTTTCTTATAATAAAGCTTTCCCCTGACTACCATTATTTTTTACTCTTTGACCTGGACCTAGTAGTATTGCCAACTGCTAAAAATCTTCACAAAAAGCTACATGTACCATGCGGGGAAGGGCATCATTGTTTCACTAACAAAAGTATTTATTATAAAAAAAATAATTAAAGCCATAGTTTTTCTATGCATATAAACGAAGTTATATTTGCGTTTAGGCTGACAAGCAGCGTCAACATTGCGTGTGAAAAACGTTTATCGCATTAAATTGACGGATAATTTTATTCCCAGTGGCCGCACGACGCAAAATCCTTTACCAAATATCGCTTTGAAAAATGTTGAACAGAGGAACTAGTTTGATAAAGACGTTTGTGTCCGTCAGGCACATTTTACAGTTATATAGATCATATTTATTCAACCAGAACGTCAACTTGTTCTTATTCAGAACATCTATTTACATACGTCATAACCCACTAAAGCACGATTTACGTGAAAAAGTTAAAATAATTTTTTCACGTAATTCAAACCCCGCGAAAAAACATTTCCTCCCTTTACGACACGCACTCTTCGACTTCTAGTGAAAGTTTTGCCTGTGGCTGATTGAATGTTCTTGCGAGTGACTTTTATATTTTGACTGAAACTCTCCACATCTTTGTCTACGAGGGCCATTCTTTTCATTTCCATAAGCATTTTTACTCTTTTCGGAAATCCTGGTTGTTTTTCACTTTCTTCAGACTGTATCATAAGATCGATGTGCTCTACTGCTGATAAAGGATCAGGTCTTAACGCAATCTCTTTGAGTCTTGTTTTGCAACGATTCATCTCATTCATCATTGAAGAAACCTGCTCAAACAAATCATCCACATCATAAGTCAGTTCTTCAATATACTTTTCGTGAGATAGTGTTTGGCCTATAGCATCTTCATATCTCTTCTTCATCTCAGCGTATGTTTTTTTGACAGTTTCAGTAACATATTTAAAGATGTAGGGAGTGTTTTTATGAACTGACCAGATGCATTTCTCTACGCATATTCTACAATGTCCAGTTTGTCTATCCATTGCCCAGCAACCACTTTTCTCAGCGTCATCTGCTATCTGGCATTTTTCATGGCAAGTGACATTGCAGTTAAGGCAATTTGTAACATGCTGACCTTTTGGAAGGTCAACCATTTCTTGTCTGGTTTCTTCGACCTGATATTCAAACTTTTCATTGTTTTCTATTTCCTTTTTGTATCTGTTGAAAATATCTAACTGATCACTTAGTTCAGACAATTTTGACAATCCTGCTGATACTTGGGGTCGAACATTTGAAAGAATAGTTTTTAACTGCTCTCTTTCTTCTAAAACGTTTTTTGTTTGACAGAGACTTCTTGTTTCAAAAAAATTCATTTGGAAGAAAAATCTGTCAAAACTTTTGCATCCCATCTCCCAGAACATCGGTGACAAAGCATTGTCATTTAGATTTTTATTCTCCGCAAATAGGGCCGAATTATTGAACTGAAAAGTCGCACCGAAATGCAGATTAGACTCTTTTAGAGAAGCAAGTACTGGGGGCTGTGCACCATCAGCAAATGTAATTAGCGTGCATATGTTTGATTCAATGTCTTTTCCAAACAGAGACATGATAGAGCTAAATATGTACTTTTGCACGACAGTAAGACGTGCATCAGGAGCTTTAACAAGAAAGCAAACAGCATCGATGTAGAGGACACCTTGTTCACCTTGTGCGGAAAACAAGTGTCTTATTTGATCTACAATAGCGTGGTCACGTTCTATTCCTCGTGTGTCTCCAAACCCTGGGGTATCAATGATGTTAAGCATGTAGTTGAGTCGACTTCCTTCAGTTGGAGCAATTCTATATACCGTTATCCATTCTGTCTGAGACATGGCCTGTGGAGGTAAATTTCGTGATATCAAAATTCAATACAATATTAACTTGTTAATAGAAATTCTAAATATGACAAGAACACTTGACAAAAATTTCAGCCTAATCTTTCCTCCTTAAAAGTTACATAAAATATTATGAAGATTTAGGTAAAATCTTACGTATTTGATCTCAAATACTGTATACAAGTGGAAAATTTAGCGAGACGCAAATGTAGTTACTTTAAATTAGTATTTTATTTCAAAAGAAAAGTAGTTTTGTCAATTTTAAAGTGCTCACCAAAGAAGCACCCCTGCGAGATGAAATTAATAATTTCAGGAACTTTTTAATGAACCGTTCATGAATACTTATTATTTATTCATAACAGATTCATGACTGGTTCATAAAGACAGGTCATAAATTTTATTCATGAATATATTCATAAAATGTAGTTCATGAACAAATATGAATATTGGTAATTTTCAGGTTGAAGAAAACTGACTCATCACTCCCATAATACAACTTTTGCATGCAGATGCAATTGTTGAACAAGCCCCTGGTATAATTAATAACATGCTATTGTTTTGATTTTGAAAATATGGGATCAGAGCCGAGTAGGAGAACATAAGAGGTTAAAATCACTATTTTCTACTCTATGTAATTGATAACTTAGATTCTTCAAGATAATTAAAATCTGTTATGAACTGTATACATGTAGAAGGGAGATTATAATAAAATTATGATTATAATTAAACAAACACTGCATTATCATTGACAGCATTTTCTCATATTGAATTACTAATGTTTCTTCATCATTTAAATTAGCCAGCTATATTGATATTGTGCTTTAAATAATCTTATTTTTCACGACACAACTTTGTTCGATCCAATTTTCTCTATTGCTAAACTTTAAACAATTAAGGTAGATCGCGGGTTTGCTGACGTCACAATAGGATTCGACGTAAAAACCTTACTACGTTTACAGTATCAACTACAAACAAGCAAAAAGTATTTCCATCAGTACATTAAAGCTTGTTTTGTCTGTAAAAATATCTATTTATATGTAATAAAAGATAAAGGATCAATCAATAACTAATCAATACTAAATTAAATTAAGAATTAACATAACGTTAAAATATGAAAGGTCAAAATTTATTCAAATAATATGAATCTGTGTTTCATTGAAAAAAGTGTGACAATTTAGGTAAATTATGACATTGAATGTTTACATGAACATTTATTGCCAATCAATGAAAAAAATTAAATATGCGGATAAAACATGTTTTATTTTCACTGAATTGTTGATTACATCGTGATTCTGAGACATACAAAAATAATGACGTTGCACTAACGTTATATAACGTCTTAATGAAATAATATATGTTTGTCACAAATTTGTAAAACTTGTAAGTTTTTTTGCGAGAAAATTAGCGAGAACACTTATTAATTTTTTTTATAGACCGATTCTAAATTTATTTCAGTTTCATTCTGTTGAGTAATATAAAATTCGTCTGCCCCGTTTTTATATCATAAGCATGGTTTTGAAATGCGTTTACAGACGAGAAAGGCGCATTTTCTATATATTTCATTGTAACAGCGTCACCAGTTCTCATCAACATTAGTGCCTTTGAAATGCGATAACAATATAACCACACAGATGAATCTCACAAAAAATTCAGAAAGTAAAATCTGAAACGAGAGGGTTCAGTTGACAAATTTTCAGAGTATGTTTTCAGGCAAACAGTAAACCCGCGATCTACCTTAAGTTGTAAAAACGTATCATTAATTTATTAACAACTCTAAAATCGTATCTCTTGTCCGTACTGTACCGTACTATTCTTGGGTCGAAACGCTTTATATTTTGATGCAGTTAAAGTTACATTTTTCTGTCCATCGTGTGTAAATGACACAGCACAGACTGCATGATTGTATCTATGACATGATCCATATTCATATTTTGTAGTCTATTCTGAGATTCTCCTACAAACTTTCATAACTCAAGGTACTCAGTTTGAGGGAGAGTGGTTCCAAGAGATATTTGTTGTCCTCTTAAAATGGAGGCGGCCATACTTACAATGCGAAACTATGGCTCTACATGTATAATGTAAAAAAAAATCTTAATCATTAAATGATAACATATTAATTTTTAAAAAAATAATTTCAGTGAAAAATTATACAGATAGAGTTTGTTATATTTTGTTAAACAAAAATCTTGGCAATCCGAAACTATTTCTTACTATTAGCTCTGCATTACACTTTTTAAAAGGCGAAAACTTTTAAACGCGCGAGACGTTAGAAAGTGAATCGGTAGAGTGGAAGGATTATGAGCGTAGTCATTCTTTGTCAACCTTTGAAGAAAATAACAGAATACGAAGAAAGAATATCCAGAGGATCAATTTACTTCATAACTTCAGATATGAGTGATGATATACAAAAAAAAAAAAAAAAAAAAAAAAGAAATAAAAATATGGACGCAATCGCTGAATCATGTGAATGTGTGATATATCTGTCTGTAGATGTTACTGTCTATTTGTAAAAGTTGTGTCTTTTTTTAATGAAATTTTTGCCAAACTTTGTAATGAGTAGGGATCCAACCAAATTACGTTACATTCAATAATTAAAGATTGAGGATCAAAACATTCATAATCCTGTTCACCTACAACAACGCGGGCAAGGGAAACAGGCTAAACTCCCGCTCGGAATACTTTGATATGATGCAGAATTAAATGAAACAAATATGCAAAAAATACAATTAAGTCTTAAATTTTCACATTCATGAGCAATTTCATAAAATCTTTGTTCTTGTAGGGAAAAAGGAAGCAGTTCACAGATAATGTTGATAAGTTTAGATCAGAAGACTCTGGCTGCAAAAAAATCCAGGCTCTTGAAGAAAAACAAAAGAAAGAAATGAAAATAAGAATAGTTTTCGATCAAAGGATCTAAGTGATGAAATTATGGAAATTCCAAGAACAATTTTTTGATTGACCACCTCTGCTCAAAATACATGAAAGCCCTTTTAGCTGATGTCCTAATTGCGGAACATTTTTTCTACCAGACTTGGATTAAAAATAATTCCATTTTAGGCATGAAAACACACTTTGAAATATACGGAGTATTTTTAGGAACCCGCTCTCCTCTTGACCAAGTAAGGTTAAGGATTCTGCTAAGAGACGCATTTGAATTGACATTTTTCATAATTTTACCAGGAATGATCTACATAATTCATTTATTATCGTTATCACTTATCAGAGTTGTTTACTTGAACAAAGATTTTGTTACCATGATTGGAAAATAAATTCTTTGAAATCTTTCAAGATGATATATTATAAAATATCTTCTTTTACAGTTTTTCATTTTGCATAACTTATTACATTTTTGTTTACAAAGAAGCAAAAACATTCAAGAATAGTTCATGAATATTCCTATATAACTTTTACAAATTATTCATGAATAGTTCATGAAAATGCATTGAACTTATTAATACGAGGGTTGATCCAAAAGTTCGTGGAATTTCTTCATATTTTATTTATTATTCAGTGGAATTAGTTGAAAATTACAAATGAAAATATAGACACTTGATGAATATTTTAAATTAAAAAAAACCATTTTAAATATCTTCGATAGTACCTTTATGGCAGTTGCCATAGAAACGGTTGTTTGGAAATGCGGGGGAGACATTAACGCGTTTATTATCATTTAAATTCTTAATTCGTAAAATAAGAATTAAACCGCCATATGTGGTATAAAACGAAAATTATGTCATTATTACGATTGCTTGATCTTTTATGAACCTTTGTGTGAGAGTTTTACTGATTTTACTGGATATTTAGTTTATTAGTTGGTGACTTATTGTTCATCTTTGAGTTGTGAGACAACATCAAATTTTGGTCAAGTCATAAGTTTTGAGAAAAATCCCAGGATCACTCTATCTTAATCTATCTTACACGCGTATATTATTGACATAGGCTTGGAAAAAATGCATTTAGTTACTGGTTTTCCAGAGGCATAAGAAATTTAAACAAACAGAACTTCCATGGACATTGATAAAAGGTGTGGTCGCTTTTTAGAGGTTCTGTTTAAGTACGTATCCCCCTAGACAATTTAAAAGCGTTAATGGACGTTGTCGGCTGCCGTACTGTTCTTGACATTGCTACTGAAATTTGAACATCATATGGAAAGATGGGTAGTATTTTTGAAATATGAGTAAAAAAAGTTGGCGCGAGAGGATACTCAGGCTTTTTTGAGAAAAAAAAATGGAGAAAAAGGCAGCATTTTGTAGAATTACGTATTATAATTGGACATTTGGGCGAGATGCTTCTATAACGTGACGTGACATATTTAACTTGACGTTACGTCGAAGTCTCCCCCGGGTTTCCCAACTATCCATTTTCAGAAAGCTCGTGTGACCTTATTGGTAATTGGAAAGTAGTGAAATTTTCCAATATTGTTGTATTATGACTCTATACTAGTATTATGAATATGCCTGTTGATTGATTTCATCAAATCACGATAAAATTTTAGAAAGAAATTCCACGAACTTTTGGATCAACTACATAAACTTTTCTTGAAAGATCAAGAAAAAAATTCATGAACTTTTCTTGAAAGTTCAAGAATTATTCTTGATCATTTTGCAGGCAATTAAAAAAAATCCAAGTTTGTTCATGAACAACAAACTATTCTTGAATATTCTTGATTTTGGATTTCATGAATAAAATCCATGAAATCATGAGTGACCAATTTTAACTTCATGGGATCTTCATGAACAATTCATGAGCAGATTCAAGAATATAATTCAAAAAAATTTTTTAAAAGTTCAAGAATTATTCTTGATCATTTCGCTGAATTACAAATACTGGGGTAAATCACAATTGATTTTTAATAATATTCAATTTTAGCAATCTCAGTACCCTCTTTAATTAGGCCAAATTGAATTCTCGCTAAAAATTCTGCTCTGTATGGTTATTGTTTACACCAATGCATTAAATCAACATTTTAATTCTTAGACTTTTCAGCAGAATTCAAAATATCTGAAAATCCCTTCACATTTACGACGGTGGCCAAATCACATCCAGGGAAATCATAATTTGAACATTTTTCTTTTATGTTATTATGTAAATCAATTGCAATATCACATTTAGATTTCGTTTTGGTCTAAGATGCACGCATTTGACTGAACCTTCATAATTAAAAATTCTGTACATATAATTACACCGGAAAAAACAGAATACACATGCCAAAAAGGGTAGCGTTTTGTAATCATTTTTGGCAGCACACCTTGTATATGTAAAATAGCTCATTCATTTAATATAGTAAGGGTAGGTTAGTAATTATTTCCAATTACAGATAAAATACCTGATTATGAGTTTTCTTTTCTTCATCTTCCAGTGTAACCATTGTAAATCGAAAAGGATCTTCAAAACTCACTCCTAAAACGTAGTTAATGATGCCATCTACTAATGTGCTTTTTCCGGAACCTGTTGCTCCAACTAGCATACTGGTTTTCTCCTCAGTATAACCATGATTGAGTTTGCCTGATTAATATTGTTTTAGGTACAATAAGATGAAGACAAATTGTACATTATATATAATAGTTTATGCATGTTTTAACATATGATGTAAAATATAAGAGAACCACAACACTCACCTGAGTAACTTTACCTATACGCTGTCCTTACCAGATTTACCCACTTGTAATCCCTACTGTGGTCCCGTCTTACCCTCAGGGGTCATGATTTGGAATTTTCACTATCCCTTAATGCTTCCACATAAGTATCAGCATTTTATGGTCATGTAGATCGGTTCGTGGGAATATCAACTAGCCCAGAATGCTTCTGCATAATTGTTAACTTTACTGGCCCCGTGGTTCTTGATACGGAGAATACGGAGAAAAGATTTTTCTTATACATGTATTTCAATTTAATAATTTGATTTCCCTACTGTAGCCCCGCAAAAACCCGGGGATCACGATTTGGATAAATAAGTATCGCATATCTCATTTCTGCGGAAGAGGGTCAAAGGGCCTGGTCCTTTATTTTAATAATTTAAACTCTCTTTTACCTAAGAACGCCTTATACCAAGTTTGGCTAAACTTTTTCTGTGGTTTTTAAGAGGTTGAAAATGTGAAAAATTTAGAGATTGACGGATAAACGGACGGACGACAAACAAAGGGTGATGAGAAAAGCTTACTTGAGCTTTCAGCTCAGATGAGCATAAGAGATTACCAGATTGATTATGTTAAAAATACCTAAGAATAATTGCCTGGTTCTTGCTTGAGGGTTTCTAGCTCTTTGATTTTCTTGAACAGGAAGTTGATATTTCGAAGGATCATTTTTATTAACAAGAATTGAAGATTCTAACATCATTGTTGCCAATGACTTTGTTGTCGAAAGATCCTCATTTACTGGTCCATAACGTCCTTCCTCATCCCCAAAAATTCCTCTCACTTGAAATATATATTGTGTATTTGCCATAAGTCCTGTTATAGTTACATGATTTTCATCGGAATCGGTTTCAACAAATTTCCATTTTTCTTTGTCGTTCAAACTCTTATACCGAATTTGGTAATGATCAACTTTTTCTGATGGTTTTTCCCAACAAAGCTCCATAACATCGGATTTGATTTTTAAAGATTTTGGCTTCCCGGGGATCTGAAAAAAATGCATGAATTTTTGATAAAGCGACCAGTCTTAATTAACAGCACACATAATTTTGATATTGTGAGTAGAAATATATTATTTTGAGAATCCAGGGTTCGTTTGTGTAAAATATCTCAAGTACTTGATCATATAATTTAATAAGTACCGTTTTCCTGGGTAGCTGATTGAAATTTTACTAAACATATTGCTCAGCATGTTTCAATATTTACATTCGCTGGGTTTTCTTCTAAGCCAACAGTGAATTTAATTTGAATACCATTTTTGTATATTTGCATTTTGCAATTATTTGTCTTTAACATTCCTTACAAATTAAAATTTTGAGTCTGTGTGACTCACACACCAATAATTCACACAAAATCTCAAACATTTCTTGTATAAGTACATTTTACATATTTGAAAGCACCAAAATATACTCAGAATTCAATTTTGAATTAGAAAATCGCGAAACCTACATTTATCCTGGTGGAAAAGTGTTCACTATGCCATTCTAATCTCTAAAAATAATTTCACTCAATTTGAACGGAAGCCGATAGGTAGAAAAATATTTTATCTGGCGGCCACCAGATAATTTTTTTTTCTACCTGGCACCTACCGGCTTCCATAGATTCGCTATACCTATGTCTTCCACCGTTTGCAATGTAGAGGAGGTAATGTTCGTAATAGGCACTTCCCGTGTAATTTTGTAGATGACGAAATGATAGCCTTCATAGACCGAGTATACCCTATAAAATCAAGAGAGGTGGACCTTTGTAGAGTATCATTTTGTCACATTCAAAAATGGGGAGCGCCTATGATGTTTGGTTTGTCTTGTTCTTGATATTTCTCCATGCCTATCTTTTCTTCACATTCATGTCCCCTGATTCTCTTCATTAAGCGACTTTAATTTATACACATAAGGATTTCATCAATATCAAACAATGGTTATAACAGGAAGATGATTCTTTAAATTAATATGAATGATTATTTCTTTACTTCTTCATCATTACTTTCGGTGAATTCAATACCTTAGGATCCGGTTGTAACGGAGCATCCGCCCTGAAGAATGAAAATTGTTCTTTATAGAGCGTACATATTTTTAATATAGAAAAGAACCAAAACTTGTTTACATGTCTTATTATGCTAATTAGTCCAAAAAGTTTCATATTACCTTTAAATTTTATTTACTGTTTAAATAAACGTTGCATTGGGTTTTTTATTTTTAGTTTCATTGATTCATTTTACTTACTCTAAAGGGGGCAAATTTGATTTTTGTGACTTTAAATTTCTAATGTCGTCACACAAAATATGCCCTCTTCCTGATCGCTGTCGTAGATGCTGCTTCGCACAATCTTGGCACTGCGGTTCAGGAACTTCACATGTTTTGCAGAAATGCGTTGCAACGCTTTGTAAATTGTCGTATAAACACGGATCGCAAAAAATTGTCTTCTCGTCTTTCTCTCTGAAATCGAATAAAAGGAATGTTTGACACAACAATCAAATAAAATACGAGGGACGTTTAATAAATAATGTCATCGGGGCTCGGAAAGAAATAAAAAACGCTTTTCTATGATTTTGTCTTAATGATTTAACTAAAATATTCTCTTTTAATTAAACACATGTCTATAACATTTTGATTAAGGTCTTCCGTCTCCAACGGAAGACCTTCTTGTTATTCTTCGGTTTCTTTTTCCCTATTATTATTTTTTTTTCCAACCGATTTTGTGCACGCGGTTTTTAAGCGTTTTTATGACGTCACTTCCGGTCGTGAGATATGGACAATTTTCTGATTTTAAATTGCAATTTTGTCTTAACTTACTAGCGAAAACTGCTTAAGATATGAACTGGAGACTATTTGGAGATGATAGTTCATGACTTATAGCGTTGCAGAATCACCTTTTCGTGCGATGTCAATACTTCCGGTCGCTACCGGAAGCGAATTTAAAATACGAAATTTTTCAACTTTTGATTTTTAAGATTTTTAATTTTGATTTGAATAGAGACCCTTTTGCAGAAGCGAAATATGTAATTTGTTTGAAAATCGAAAAAGCCAATCTCGAGATATTTGCATTTGAAAACGCGAAGCGGCGATTCCAATGGCTAAATGGTTAGCGCGTTGGATTGTCACGCGGGCGACCCGGGTTCGATCCCCCGTTTGACCAAAAAATTTTATTATTTTTTTTGCTCGACTTTTCAATATTTTTAAATTTTAGACCATTTGGAACAATATATTGTAAACTTTCAAGCATATCTTGCGTAATTAGGGGCCACAAGGAGCCAGAATGTAAAATCTTTGACGCGTTATATCTCCAAAAGGAGGAGTATTTTGATAAGCTATATTGAACAAAAGATGTTCAAAATCATGTTCTAAACAATATGCAACCTTTTATTATTTGCTAAACGTCCCCATTAAGGAGTTGAGGGGTTGGCCCCTAAATATTTCCATTTAGCATATCTCCACAACGAATAGAAATCTCTGAATAAGTGTTGAACAAAAAATCTTTAAAATCACAAGGCCTTTCATTTGATATCAAGAAAAAGGGGCTGACCCCTCAAATTAAGGGCTCAGAGGGACCAAAAGTCTTTTATCTATAACTCTCTAATGAACAATATTTTGTTATACATTACTGAAGCAAAAGTGTTTATCTTAAAGATTTGCAACAATATATGATACAATTTTGATCATAAGTTGCGTAATTAGGGTCACAAGGGAGCAGAATGTCAAATCTTTGACGCTTTATATCTCAAAAAAGGGGGATATTTTGATAAGTAATATTGCACAAAAGATGACCAGAATATTGTTCTAAGCAATATGCATACTTTGAATTTTTGTAAAACGGCCCCATTAAGGACTCATAAGAGTGGCCCCTAGATATTTCAATTTAGCATATCTCCACAACAAGTAGAAATCTCTGAATAAGTGTTGAACAAAAAATCTTCAAAATAACAAGACCTTTCATTTGATATCAAGAAAAAGGGGCTGACCCCTCAAATTAGGGGCTCAGAGGGACCAAAAGTCTTTTATCTTTAACTCCCTAATGAACAATATTTTGTTGTGCATTACTGAAGCAAAAGTGTTTATCTTAGCGATTTGCAACAATATATGATACAATTTTGATCATATGTTGCGTAATTAGGGGTCACAAGGGGGCAGAATGTCAAATCTTTGACGCTTTATATCTCGAAAATGGGGAATATTTTGATAAGCAATATTGAACAAAAGATGGCCAGAAAATTTTCTTAACAATATGCATACTTTGAATTTTTGTAAAACGGTCCCATTAAGGACTTGAAAAAGTGACCCCTAAATATTTTTATTTAGCATATCTCCACAACGAGTAGAAATCTCTGAATAAGTGTTGAACAAAAAATCTTTAAAATTACAAGACCTTGCATTTGATATCAAGAAAAAGGGGCTCAGAGGGGCCAATATTCTTTTATCTATAACTCTCTAATGATCAATATTTTGTTATACACTACAAGGGCAAAAGTGTTCATCTTAACGAATTGCAACAATATATGATATTTTTATCATATGTTACGTAATTAGGGGTCACAAGGGACCAAAATGCTATATTTTTTATGCTTTATGTCTCAAAAAGAAGGAGTTTTTCATAAGCCTTATCAAACAAAAGATGTTCAGAATATCGTGATAAAAATGAGAAACTTTAACTTTAATAAGGGAAAACTCAATGTCATTCTCTTTAAACGAATATCTCAGTCAAAATCACATCTCATCTTATTGAGAAATTCAACGGAAGACCTACTCGTTGCTCGCAACGAGATCTCATCTAGTTCAATTTCTAATTGTTTTTAGAACACATTTTGAAGTATGACCTTTGCATACTGGAATATTGCAGATCCTATGATTTGTTGTACTTTTTTTTTGTCCCCGCTTGAAAAGTGGGGCATATTAATTTTTGGTCTGTCCGTCCGTCCGTCTTTCTGTCTGTCTGTAACGTTTTCGTTTCCACACGATATCTCGAGAACCCTTTGAGCTTTCGCAATGAAATTTTGCATAGCAACTCCCTATGGACTAAAGAAGAATTCTATTGATTTTGAGGTCAAAAGGTCAAAGGTCAAGGTCATAAATTCGCAAATTCTGTCTGTTATAACACTTTCGTTTCCGCGCGATATCTCGAGTCAAGCTTAATGTCATATGATTTCTATGTTGTATGTCATCGAGCTGATGACTTTATTTATTGTACGTCCCTCGTAATTCTCGTATCTACGTTTCATTTCAAGTACTGTAATTATATTTAGCGTGTACAATATTTGGCGGAAAGTGATTTTTGAACAAGTTATCGCAGATTTGATTTAGCGCATCTATTAATTTGCTTATTAATGTATAAATTATATGTTTAAGACATTTAGCGTTGTACTTGAATTAGCGGAAGTTTTTGTCCGCCAAAAACGCTAAAAAGAATACAGCGCCAAATGTAATAGGTTTACAGTACATTGTAATATTTAGAAAGACTCGATAATTCGGTATTAAAATTAAAATTATAAAATATAGGGTGTTGAAAACTTGTTTTAGAATATACCGTTAATGGTGAAGTCAGGCTACTCAATCTTATATCAATACTTCGTGGTATTGTTGTGAGATGTGTATTGTTTCATTATGTATATAATTAGTAACATTAAGTTTCTTGAAAATTCCAGGGTGGTCAACATGTTCGGTCATTTGATCTAGAACATTCTTAAATTTTGTGTATGCCCCTGCGAGGTGAAATTCATGATTTCAGGAACTTTTATGAATCGTTCATGAACATTCATGATGTGTTCATGACTGGTTCATGACTGGTTCATAAAGATGGTTCATGAACTTTATTCATGAATATATTCATAAAATGTAGTTCACGAACAGATGATGAATATATATGAATATTGATAATTTTCATTTTAAAGACAGAAAAAATGTAGAGTTCAAGGTATTATGAATGTTCATGAATTTTCATGAAGACTAAAATAATTGACAAAAATGATTAACAGAAAATACTCAATACTCTCATAATACAACTTTTGCATGCAGATGCAATTGTTGAACAAGCCCCTAGTATAATATATGTTTAATAATAATTCTTTCACCATCTAAAAAAAAAACATGAAATCTCTAAACATTTAGTGTTTTTATTTGATTTTAATTTAACAAACACTGTATCACAATTGACAGCATTTTTTTTTCAAATTCATTACTTGTGTTTCTTCATAATTTAAATTAAACAGTTATATTCATCATAATGTGCTTTAATAATTTTTTTCATCACACAACTTTGTTCGACCGAATTTTCTCTAACATCAAACTTTAAACAAGTTGTTGGAAAATGAAACATTCTCGAAAATGAACTTAGTGAGCTTCGTAAAAAACGTTTTATATATTTATTAACAACTTAAAAATTATATCACTTGTCTGTACTGTACCGTATTATTCCTGGATCGAAACGCTACATACATTTCAATTTTGGTGTAGTTAAAATGTCAAAAGTTTCCCTTGCTTCGTGCGTTAATGATAGAGCAAAGACAGCATGGTTGTAAAGTACCTATGATCCACATTCGTATTTTGTAGTTTTAATTCTCCTATGCGTCTTCACAGCTCAGAATATTCTGTCTGAGGGCAAGAGATTGTTATAATCATGTCATAGGGGGCCACCATACTTGCTATACGAAACTAAAAGTCAATACATGTATAATTTATAACGTAAAAAAATCGAATTCTTCATTGATAAAACTTATTTTGATATAAAATATTGTATTTTCAGTGAAATGTTATTCAGATAGTGTTTGTAATTTTTTTTAAACAGAAATCTTGGAAATTCGAAACTAAGGTATTTCTTAGCTCTACCGTACATTTTTGAATAGGCGCAAACTTGAAAACGCGCGAGACGTTGGAAGTGGGAATTGTAGTGTGGAAGAATCAGTATTTGTGATCTATTATTTGCATAGTCACTGTGCCGTTTTCGTATTGCATGATTTTATTTCGATCGGGTTCAATATTCTGTTTATACTAATTATGGTAGCCATGCTGTTTGCCTGGCGTTTTGGCTGTGAAGTTTGGTGATGTTGGCCTCCATAAGGAGTAAGTTTTATATTGTTTTACTTGAAAATATATCTAACTTGATCATCTGTATCTAACAGTATTATGCAATATATTTTATCATGTTTAAATTCCTTAACTACAATGTTTTGTAAAACCGCACATTTTCAGCATGCGATAGGCATAGGCCTGTTCAGCTCACATGTTAAAGTTACGCATTTAATTTTGTATGATTGCTTATGATTTTGATATTTTGTCAAATTCTTATTATGCTTTTGTAATTTGTAGTTTTTCACCCTCTCACAAGGTGTGTCCAATAAACAGTACAGTCACTGATCTTTGTCAACTTTTTAAGAAAATAACAGAATATGAAGAAGGAAGACTATACATAGGATCGATCTACTTCATAACTGGTGAGTGACAAAAAA